CAAACTAGCTTCCAACTTGACACCGCTTTCAGATGGACAAAATAAGAAAAACTTTCAACACCAATCTGCTTATGTAATTCCAAAAAAGGCTTGGTTGTCTGAATTTTTATTTTTAAGTCAAGTTTTGAACAGATGTAACCATTTTGTAACCTAAATAAAATACCACTTTCACAAGTTTTTGTTCAATTTTTTGTCACTTAGTCTTGTTTCAAAACTCATTCTACACATACTTTTCTCAATATAACTCTAGTGTAAATCTTCAAGAAATATGCAATTAACTGACCACTTTGGATAAGTCTAAATGACCGGTGTTAAAGGCTCAGTAGGCTATGCTGACAATAGTAGTTAAGAAAATTCTAGTCTTTTTTTTCTCCTGTAAAACATCAATTTGTCAGGTTTTATTAAGAGGCTACAAAATCATAAAAATGGTACAAGAAAACTGCCGAACAATTTTCTAATTTAGTGTCATAAGGTTTCTAGACCGCCACTGCAAAATTAACTGAAAAATCCATTACATGTGAATTATTGTTAAGGATTAGCAGCCATTTGCCATTACAGTTGTTGGTGAACGTCTTGCAGAAATTGAGCAAGTCAAGTCAAAAGAAAAAAATTCTTTTTCTTTATTTAATCAATACTAAACGAATGGCAGTATAGAAACTGCTGAAATTTAATGTTAATTTGATCTGTTAAAACCCGTCTTTAGGCAAACGCACATTTATAGATCGTCTAATTTTTTAGCGAAATTTTTTTGTGTTTGTTTAATGATTAAAAGTCAGCATTATTGAAATCCAGCAAAAGAGCACTATCAGGTGCCTTCAAAAATTAGATCTTTTATGTCGACTAAGTTGTCTTATTGTCCTTCTGATAGCATGTAAAATAGCCTAAATTTACGCAACCCAAACAATTGATGCAGCAAATATTTTTGGTCAGAAGTCGGAAAAAACAAAAAAGTATGAAAAGTTCTGGTTTATTATTCAACAAGAAATAATGCCTTCCAATCAGCCTTTGAGTTGCATTTGCAACTTTAAATAATGTAGACTTTGCTAACACCCTATCCGACATCTCTTTCAACATCTCAATATCACAAGTTAACCTTCGACCAAACTACTCACGTCTGTTTTGAATATTTAGATAATTTTTCTACTTTGCAAATTTTAACTTTATTTTTGAAACTTAAAACTTTTGAAAAAACGACTTTTTACCGTAAAAAACTGAAAAAGCGCAATTTTTTAAATTTTTTTAAACTAATGATTTCTTTTTAGATCTTTTTCCCAACTAATGTCTTTCACTTAGCGACTAAATAATATACTTTAAAAATTAGCTGCAAATAAAGTACTTTCAGAAACACTGACTCAGACATAATAAAAATAAGTAACAATGATTCTTCTTATTTTTTTGATATATGTTTATTTTAAGACGTATAGTTTGACATGCTCCATCTTTTGTGGGCTGTTAAACTTAACGAAGAAAGTTTGCTTCTGTTTGTTATGAGTTATTACGATGATTCTATAAGATTTTTGCAGCTCCTTTTATAGATTTTGTAATTTATGTGATTTTGGCCTTTATGAACAAATATCAGTTACCCAAATACTGAGTGTTACAATAATCTGAAACTAATTTTAATATCCACAGACGATACACATTTGGTAGACAAATGGAAGTACAGCCATACTGATACTCTGTCTACTACTCAACAAATAACCAGATATTCTTAAACCTGAGCATTAAAACCAACATCTCTATAATCATCAGAATAAGCGGTAGACAACGAATATAAAAGTTAATCTAGATTTTCTTTTCTTTTACTCTTATTACACCAAACAAAAAACTGCATCTCAATACGCAAAAGAAGAAATGATAAACCTTAAAAGAGAATATGAAAAGTATGTATGCTGTAAATGCAGAACTGGATTGATCGTAGTGTATCAAAAAATGATCAAGTAATCGTAAAAGATAAGGTGTAAAATTTTTAAAAAAAACAACTTTTATATCATAGTAAAGAGATTCTTTTAGAATTTAATAAACTTTTTCTAACGACATATATACAATAGAATCGCTGAAACATTTATTGACAGTAAGTGCAGCAACATTATCGACGGCAATAACAGTGGTAAAAGTATTCAAAAATTTGACCGTTGTACTCCCTTCTTACAATACCTTCAAAAGAAGAAGACCAAAAAAGCAAACTGTAAGTAATGCAGAAATTTTCATCAAAAATTTAGAATTTTTTCCTTTGTCTGAGTTATACACATATATCCGACCACTGTGAAATACAATTTTTTTTAGTGTATAGTACTTTAGCAAACAGTACAGGTAACTGGTCAAAGGCAAATGAATTTGCTTATTTCACATCTTGAAGTGTGAATTTGAAGTTTACATTACTGCAAAATAAGACTGGAACAGAAAGCTCGAAAATAAGATTACTAAATTCAAAACTTTTATTTGTTAATCAACAAATCCTTAGTTGTGGCTAAATTTTCTGTTAAAAAAATTCAGTTGTAAGCTGTTTTCATCAGTTATTACTATGCAAGATATAAATGAAAAAAGGAAACCCTTGAAGTTTAGAGAATTTAGGTTCACATCAGAAAAAAAACGTTATAATCGACATAACCCATCATAAAAGTTTTCTTTTTTTTTCAGAAAACATAATATTTACATAAACAGCCGCCAATATATAGTTTTGAAACAGTAAAGTTCTTTACCCATGTAAAATGACAACTGTTTTATTACTCATTTCGCCCAATTCCTTGTGATCTTTTTCAGTATTTCATCAGTTGTTGGCCGCATAGATATATGTAACTGTTGATTTTATATTATTTCATTTTTTTTTGTCTAAGATAAACCATTCAAACAGTTTTGTGTAAACTTCATAGATGTCGATAAAATTTATTAACTTGTTCGATCAGATGCAAGCAAACAAACGACTTGAAAACAATGAACAGCAATGACGTCATAAGATGTATCCAAAGTAATTGATAGAAACTAGAAGTAAGAAAATAAAAATTGAAAAAAAAAAACCAGAATTATGCAGCTAGTTAATTGATGTGCTCTTACGTTACTGGTGTCCAGTAACGATCAATGTCGTTACTCACGTCTAGTCAACAAAACAACTTACCATTATCATCCGTTTACGTCGGATATTAGACAAACTTAGTGAGTGACGTCGAGCATAAACTTACTTGAGCCATTAATCTTTTGATGGTTCATGTACGCAAGTTTGTGCTGTATATTTCCGTGTCTATGATGTTTACGTACACTAAAAAAAAATTAAGCATCAAAGATTCTGCCAAGAAAAAAAAAAGGTTGTCCACCACTTTCTATGACTGCCTCATTTATCCTGATGCTGTCGCTTGAAAAAAACATCTTCCCCTAAACCGCCACCAGGAACCACCCGGTACTTATTAAGTTATCAGCAGTAAAAAAAATTAAAATAGTGAACTCAGTGGAAAAAATTTTAAAACGACAAAAAATTAGACGTATTATAACAAAATAATAATAATAATAATAATAATAATAAAGTTAGTTGCCTTCAAAAAGTTGCCTTGAACACATTATAAATTCTTCTGCTCAAAAATATATGTATTTGTACATTTACACCAAAACAATTTTATAGTACAATATACAGGTGTATTGCGTAAGAAAATTGCTGTATTAATAAAATTGAAAAAGAAAGTGATGTAGTGACTATCAATGAATATAAAAAAAATCACACTTCATTATCAATCCGCATTTAAAATATGAAAAACTGAAAAAGAGATAAATAAATTCAGTTCTTTTCGTTGTTATATTGCTTTTTGTTCACTTGAAAAAGTAGAGTAACTTCTTCTTAAACAATTCTTAATCTATCAACCCAGCAGTGCAAAGTTACTGAATTACCATATCATATCGATTCCAACCAAACCAAAACAAAAAAAAAAAAAAAAAAAA